TCAGTATAACTTGGCACACAAGTAGACTACATTAAGATACATAATTGACTTTATTGTTTTTTGATTTTGTTAAATGATGTTACCATGGTTACTAAAATTGAAATTTTTGTAAAATTCTTTCAACAATTTTAGTCCGATTGCCACAAAAAGAAACTGAACCAAGGATCATTATTCTATTTATTGCTGTTGCAAAGTGCTACTTTTATCTTCCTTCGTTTTAAGTACAAACCAGTAGCGCTACAGTCTCATCAGGGACTTCTGGTGTTTTTTTTTTTTTTTTTTTTTTTGAGAAACTTAATTTATAATTCTTATTACATAACAATGTTTTTGTAAATTTAATATTGTTGACATGCTTTACTTTTTAAAAAAAATACAATGAATGAAAAGAAATGTAAGTGATTCTCCCTTCCATACAAACAAAGAAAACTGTTATGGCATTTCAAAGAAAGTAAATAAAAAATGAAATTACCTCAGCAGTAATGATAGATGTGTACCTCCACATTCCATGTGTTATGTCCTCTTTGCATACAAACAGAAAAAAACTTTTAAACAAGATTATGTTCCAATAAAAAATACAACTCATGTAATCACATTCCATTTTCCTCCCTTGTTTACACAAGCTGCATCTTAACATGAAGCATACGCATCAGATATGTATATTATTTGGTACTTGATACCCATAAGAAAAATCAATTTGTTGACCAAGAAAAAACAAAAAAAGAAAAAAAAATGTCAATGAATTAAAAGAAATTTAAGTTATTCCCCTTTTTACATGATACCTGTAAACAAAATCAAGGAAAATCAAAGTAAAACTATATCTATTAATATTGAACAAAGTTTTTTTTCTATTTGAAAACGGAAGCTTAGACCAGACCTAGTCCTTGTATAATATGTGTACCTACACATAATTTCCATACATTCATTCTAAGTATATTTGTTTAAACACACCTGATATTATCAAACTCTTAAACACATCTGGTATTTTCACATTCTTTCTGCTTGATGATATAAAAACATAAGATGAGCAGATATTGTTATCACACTAATAATTCAACACTTGTTCATAAAAACTGGGCAAAATACATTTTTGCATAAAATTTAACGCAAAATGTGACTGATATGAAGCATGAAAAACTTATCTATAGACTAAGTCTCTTAGGCGTCTTAGATCTGGTGCGTGTGCTAATTGAACCCTCCTCCTCTGGACTTGGTAAAGGTTTGGTGGACACCACTGTGTCTGGCGTGTCTGGGGTAAGGGTACTGGGGGTCTGAGCCTGAGATGGGGGAGTCATCATTAACAATTCACTGAAGTCAACAGATGGTAAAGGGACTGTAGCAGGTGCTGGCTGGGAAGTTGTAGTTTCTGGCAGTGTTGGTACGAAGCACCCACATCTACATTTTGATAATAGCCATTTCTTGAATATTATCAGGAGGATAAGGATGGTTGTAGCACTAATCCATGCAAGCATTCATATAAAAAAAACCACAAAATCTCTATCAAATATTGTAGTCATAATCATGATCCCCTGTTAAGGGCATGTATGGCTGAATTCTTTTCAAATTAACTTAGACTATGTTGACAATTTACCCTGACTGCCTTAAGTATTACACAGTTTTCTTTTAAATTCTTTCAAGATATTTTAGTGTTATATTTCAGCTTTTTCTTATCTTAAAATCAGCATGCCAATGAAAATACAAATTGAAAAAATAGATTTCAATAACAAAGATTTTGAAACCTTTCATTTCTGGAGTTGTGAAAGCATCCTCTTCTTCTTCTTCTTTCTTTGAATCTACAACAATATTCCAACAAAGCATGACACACATATATACAAATATGATGTAATAAGTGAAAAATGTTATGGCAAAATGAGGTAACTTTTTTTCTCTATATAGTTCAAAAGAGGTCATTGCCGTAACTGAAGTTAAAACAAAACAGAGACCTTTGAAATTTGACATATTGATCACCATTTCAAAACACTTCAAGTAGTTAACTTTTGTACAACTCTGCATTCCTCTGGATGGTAGATATGGTCACCGGCTCTCATTCATACTTAGGCCAAAAAATGTGTGTTTACTGTATCCTGACCGACCCTATTTTTTCACCCCGATCCTAACATTATTTTTATTGGAAAATTTATAATAACTTGGAAATTTTGTCTCCCTCTGGAACCAAATTCAACTTTTTTGTCATTTCATCCACCAACTTAAGAAGTGTAAGGGATTTATCAATAGCAATTGAAAGGGTGTTTAAAACTGTCAATAAATACAAAAACATCACAAGTGATAATACATAAACACCATACTCACTAAATTGCAAAATAAAAAAAAAAAAAATTAAAAAAACGATAAATAAATAAATAAACCCGACCGACCGACCCTATTTTTTCAGCATGTTACAATAACACACACATATTGTTTTTGTCTCTCTACATTCTAACACATTACTGATATTAACCTAAATCATGACATGGCACCTCAAAGCATTAAACAATGTAAAAATATAAAGCCTGTCTGTTTCATCTTAATAGTTTCTTAATTTCCCACGATTCCTCTTATTTACAAATGCACATTCCATAGTAAACCGGACAGCTTCTCATTGGCCCATTGTAAAGTCACATGATTAATATTTCCCACGCTTTTCTTTCTCGATCCTATGTATAATCGCATGACTATTTCCCGTGACAAATAAATGAAAAGTGTAAGTAAATTTACCTCTGCGTTTCGTTTTGCCGACTGAGACGTCCTGCTGATTGAAAGCTGTCGACTCTCCAATTACGGGAATTGGTTCTGTAAAAGGTCGAAGCACAATATAATTACCTTTTCAAATGGGGGGGGGGAGGGGGGGGTCTCAAAATAGGAAAACAATCCAAACTGATAAAGACCGCAATATTTCGACAAACAACTTTTGGTTTCAAAAATGTCAAGTGTAAATAATTTTACCTCAGTCCGGTTGTTTGCTGACTAACTTTCCGTTGATTAGGGCCAGTGAGGGTGACGGACTTGGTAGAGCTATATGCAATTACGTGAAAGGGTCCTGTAACAGGTCAAAGCACAATTATTACCTTTTCAAATGAGGGCGTCTCAAATTAGGGGAAATCCATACTTTTCATATAATCCAGGTAAAATGAGTTTTTAAATAAAAGACGCAATATTTAGAGGAAATACGACATGTCCTTTGATCACTTTTATATATATGTTTCTAAATAAGTTTTGTTACAACTTTAACTTCACCCGTGTGGCGCAGTGCTTAAACCGGTGGCGTAAAGATCTGATCATCCTTACGTCGCGGGTTCGAATCCCAGTGTGGGACGTATAAGCCACGAGTGCTAAGCATAGGTTCTGTGACCAGTAATGGTGACAGCCGCTAGATAGCTGAAAAATTGCTCGTGCATCTATAAACAGTCAAAACAAACAAACAAAACAAAAACTTTTAACTACTTACCACATAGTCGTCCATGTTTAGAATGTATTGTGAAGGACTTGGGGTCGCCGATTATGGTCACTTTCGTGACTTTGCAGTTGGATACGTACACATCCCTAACTTCAGAGGCCACTACTGTAATCTCGGTGCATGGCAAAAAACAACTTCTTACTGATCTACTGTAAGATGTATTCATCGTAATCGCGAAAATTATATATAGGCCTAATAGTAGTGCTACCCTCAACATCTTTGTGTACCCTCGTCTCGAGGCTCGTGCTTGAAAATATGCAGGGTTAACAATCTGCTAATCAGTCTTTTAGAGTTTGACCAATAAAAATTAGTTTACATCATCAAGCATCCCTATCGTAAGGTGTTAATGGATCTAATATGACATCTAATATCTAAGGTGACATCACTTACCCGCATCGTGATTGCTCGGTGACCTAACGGATTTATGTTGCATATTTACTGTCATTTTAAATAAGGTGAAATCAGGAAAATGTCACAAAATTTAAGGGTTTTCAAAGTTGTTGCATGTTTATGAAAATGGTTAGTTAAAATTTAATTTTGATTTAATTCAACATTGATAAAATTCTTTTAAACAATCATTTACGAAAAAAAAAAAATAAAACAAAAATTTATTATTAGTGTATAGGTAAGACTACGTCTGGAAGAAGATTTAATTTACATTTATGTGTGTTAATATTCTCCAGTGATAAAAAGGATTCATGAACTACACAAATGATTATCTTGACCTTTAGGTTGAAAGTACACACAAAACATATGGTTCTGAGCCTTCCCCTCTTTTTTTCTCTTTTTCCCCTTTATTTTTATAAATTTTATTGTTTTCTTTTCCCTCCTTTTTCCTCATTTTGTTTTTCAATTTTGTACTCGTTAACCCTTGTAATATTAGTTTATAATACATGTCTTTGTAGAACCTCAAATATGTACAGTATTTACATTTGTACCTTGACCTCAAATGGAGAGAACTAATATTGGCCCTTGGCCTGCTGTTCAATCCATGTTCATTGTATACTTCTTTGTATATTATGAATAAAATACTTCTTAAACTAAACTAAACAAATGAGTGATTAATTAATTACGAGTGTCACCGTGTTACATATTCGTCTTTTGCGCAGGTATGTCACGACCGGGCGGTGATTTTTGAAGAATAAACATTTATGTGCGTTAATTTCTCCAGCGATAAAAGGAGTCGTGAATGCGTTACACTAGTAAGAAAAAATCCCCTTTTTTTAATCATTATGCTATTTTTGATACAAAATGCTTGAATGATTAATTACGAGTGTCATTCCGTTTTTTTTTTTTTTTTTTTTTTTTTTTTTTTTTTTTTTTTTTTTTTTTTGCGCACACCGTGTAAATGTATGTCATGGCCGGGCGGGATTTTTGAATGAGAATAAAATTACCGGGTTAATTTATATGAAATGACATAGGTCAAGGAATACAATGACTATTAGGCCTAATTACCATCACCAGTGTCACTCTCTTGCATGTAATTTACACAGAAGACATGATATCCTGAATAATATATATGATTTGACAAGGAAAAATAAAGTAGAAGTTTAACCTCACCCTTTATAGCTAATTTTAATATCCCCACGACTTTTACCTTTGGAGGGTATATAAGCTTATGGGGGATGTGATCAGAGTACAAGACGGAGGGAGAACCAAACATGGCTGAGGAATATGTACCGGATTTGTAAGTTATTTCTATTATATATAAATTTAAGTATTTGTTATGTATGAAGTTCAATATATCATCCTCTGTTTTTTTAAAACACTTTTTTTTCATCGAAATCCTTTGAAATTTGGGTTAAGAATATATCTTGATATGTATAGTCGAAATTATTTTCCTACACATGTATGCACGTGTTCTAAATTCTGATCGGCTGATTTTGAATTTGCTCTGTCTTATAAGAAATGCAAACGATATGAAATTCTTACTGTAAGTATATATCTTTTGAATGTCGGTTGAAAGACATAAACATTAATACCGAGTCGTACGCACTGGTGAGTGCATTCACTGAAGTTTGATTAGATAATGATTAAATGTATGTATTTTATCATGAAATCAACGGAGCATTACAAAATAGTTAGATTTTCTGATGCATCACGAGAAAATATGCTCAAAACCAAATGTACTGGAAAAATTACACCATTTGCTATAAACGGAGGCATATTTGGGGGAAGGGGGATCTGTAACAGTCCCCGTTACAATTAGTATTAGTGTATTTTTTCTTCTTACAATGTTTAAAGTCAAAATTCTTTTGGTTAAAAAATAGTTTTGTAACAGTGATGATACAGATTCTGATGGACTGTTAGACAGTCTATGTGACACTCCATTTCAGTAAATGTTTCTAGTGCAAGTGTCATAAGATATCATAAATATTGGATTTAAAATATTCCCTATTATTGTTGTATCATATATTACGGAATAGTACTTAGAAAAGGGACTGTCTCGTTCTTCTTTCATGTTTATAAGAAATAAAAAGTATTTTTTTAGCTTATTAATTTTCTCTATTCTATTTTTTTTTTCACCAAAAGAATTCCAACCTCCCTTTCGGCTGAAACAACTTCTTCCTCACAGATGACCACCACACCCTATGCCCCCCAGATGACCACTAAATCCAATGTCCCCGAGATGACCACCATATCCAATGTCCCCCAGATGTTCACCACACCTTATGCCCTCCAGATGACCACCACACCCTATGCCCTCCAGATGACCACGACACCCAATGTCCCCCAGATGACCACCACATCCAGAAAATCAAAGTTGTGAAATAAAACTTTTGTTAGTCTCTTGACTGCAGTCTACTATGCTACTGGGATCAGTACTTTTATATAAAAAAGTAACCTGAGTAAAAGAAAAAAAAACTAAACAAATCTGGTCGATGTCAATGCTTTCTCTTTTTTCAGCATTTACTTGTCACCTGTGTCACGCAAGTGACCTATTGCTATCTGTTTTTCTAGGTTGGTGTGCGTCGTTTATCGTCCGTTCACATTCGAACATTTTCAGTTTCTTCTCTGGAACCGCTCAACCAATTTCAACTAATTTTGGCAACTGACATTAACGGGTGGAGAGGAGGAAATGTTATGAATTTCATGGTCCATAACCCCTTGGGCCTGAGGGTGGGGCTAAAACCATGAAAATTAATGCCATCTTTAAAAATCCTCTCCCCAACTCTTGGACATCAACCAGTTAAACTGTTGGCATGATTGTAATCAGCATTGATTACACAGTATATTTGTCTCGTTTCGAGTTTCGTGTAGATATGTATAAAGTTGAATTTGAAAACAAAATCTTAAATAAACTCAAGAATTGTTTTATGTAAATAGAAGTTCAGCTGATCGCTAACAGGTATAAGAATACCCTATAGATATTCATATGCTAAAGGTATAAATTCCCTTCCTTTCAACGAATTTCAAAGCCATACACTCTCAAAATAGATGAAGAAATCCACTTTCTGTTGATGAGTTTTGATCTTCTTTTTTTACTCTGTAGAAACAAAGTTTTGGTATCTTTTACCATAGCTGTTGCAAGATTACATGTACGCTGGTTGCCAATCCATTTTTTGTTACATCTAGTGAAATTAAATCTGTGGCTATGTTTGTTGAAGGACATCTGTCTTATGATAGCTTCCATACATTAATAATACACGTCAAAGGCAAAGTCTGTTTTGATTTTTTGAATGGTTCAGCGACAATTCAATATTTAAATTGAAATGAAAATTCTTTTAAACAATCATTTACGAAAAAAAAATAAAACAAAAATTTATTATTAGTGTATAGGTAAGACTACGTCTGGAAGGAGATTTAATTTACATTTATGTGTGTTAATATTCTCCAGTGATAAAAAGTGTTGCAAGATTACATGTACGCTGGTTGCCAATCCATTTTTTGTTACATCTAGTGAAATTAAATCTGTGGCTATGTTTGTTGAAGGACATCTGTCTTATGATAGCTTCCATACATTAATAATACACGTCAAAGGCAAAGTCTGTTTTGATTTTTTGAATGGTTCAGCGACAATTCAATATTTAAATAGAAATGAAAATAACAACACATGACTTTCTATAGCTTCTAAATTATCCGCCCAGCTTTATTTTCCCAAATAAAAGTCAAGTTTTTTTTCAACATGATGCCTCTTTGAAAGATTAGAATGATTCTCGATATTAAATAAAATATGTGGTAAACAGTGACAGAGAACATTTTCATTTAAAATTGATAAATTAATGCCATCTTTAAAAATCCACTTCTTTACTCCTGGATATCATGCATTTAAACTTTTGGCATGCTTGTTACCAGCATTGATTACAAAGATATTTCATTGTCTTGTTTCGAGTAGATATGTACAAAATTGAACAAAAAAAAATCCCTAATGAACTCAAGATTTTTTTCATGTCAATAGAAGTAAGTTCAGCTGATAGATAACAGCTATAAAATACTCTATAGACATTCCATTCTTAAAGGTAAAAAATCCCCTTCCATTCAACGAATTTCAAAGCCATACACTCTCTAAATTGATGAAAAAATCCACCTTTCTGTTGGGTAAGATGTTGAATTTTGATATTTTTTACTCTGTAGAAACAAAGTCTTGGTATCTTTACCATAGCTGTTGCAAGATTACATGTACGCTGGTTTAGTAAATAGAATATTGTCAATCCATTTTTGTTACATCTAGTGAAATTAAATCTGTAGCTATGTTTGTTGAAGGACATATGTCTTATAATAGCTTCCATATATGGAAAATATACGTCGAAGGCAACGTCTGTTTCGACTTTTTTAATTGTTCAAGGACAGTTTACTATTTAAATAGAAATGGAAATAACAACACCTGACTTTCTACAGAATCTCATATTTCCATCTAGCTTTATTTTCCCAAATTAAATTCATTTTATGTTTATAAGTTCATGACACTAAACATGCATTACAGCACAAATAATTCGAAAATAAATCGGGATCGATATATCGAAATGGATCGTACGTTAAATAATATTGTAGACTGACAATTGCAATAAAGACAGACCTTGTCAATAAATACAATTTATCATTAAGTCAAATGCTGACCGCTTTTTTTTTCATAGTAATTGTTAGGCCATTATTTACACACTGAATTGTTGATCATACGGAGCATACGGCGGGTGTGACTGGTCGACAGGGGATGCTCATTTCTCCATGGCACCTGATCCCATCTCTGATGTCTTAGAGGTCCATGTTTGCTCTGATCCTATTTCGTAATGTTTAATGGACTTTTGAGATTAAATACTGTTCATTATCCCCACATATTTCACTGAAATCCCTTTCAATATTTACGAATCTAAGTGATTGTTGAATGCCACGCATAATGATACAGTGTATATGCTGTTCTATTGCAGTCTCAATATATCCCCGCGGCTATTTTGTTTCCAGACACATGCATGAACTACAATACTTACAAGTACATGCAAATAAATAGCTGACTAATCGACCTAGAATTGAAATATCATCAATATATCATCAATTCATCAATATTTAGGGACCGAGGTCCCGTGTCACTTTCAACCATTGGCTTATACGTTCACCTCTATCGTTGGCTCGAGTTTATCACATTGATAAATACAAAAAATAACTCGATTGTATTAATTTTAGTTAAGTTCCTGCGCTAATATTCGTCCATAGAGGTAGTAATCTAGAACTATAAGTTTAATTTGAAATATTTCTGGAAATATCACCGATAAATTTTTTTTTACAGGATCAAAGCACAGACGATTTTCAAAGAAATATTTATTTAATTATATATCAGTAGAATTCCTGACCTAGGGACCATGAAATTCCCCATTATGAAAGACTTATCCTTGCTCATTATAACAAAATACTTTGTATGATTGCTAGTTAATCCGGGAATGAGAAGAAGATTTTAGGAAATAATGCATATCACCACATAATCAATAGAGCTCCACCTTAAAACCACAGCCCCTTACCAGGAGCTATTAATTTCGTAATTTTGAAAAAAAGTGACCTTTGTTCATCATCACAGAATTTTTGAAGATTTTATGTTTTAATATATGATTAGTAGAGCAATGTCCCCAACACCAGAACCCCTGACACAGGGACCACGAGCTTCACAATTTTGGAAGAGACAACAGTCCACAGCATTATGCACCTTGTACGTTTCACCAAGCTGCGTTCAGCGTTCACACACCATTTTCATTGTGTTCGTTCACCGTTCACTCATCGTTAGCTCACTGTTTAAAGCTACAACCGAAAATATCGATAAGTATCAGGTATCTAAAGCTAACTCTCCAAGGTGTCTTTATATCTGTAACTTTAGCACATTACACTGTAAAATGAGAATTTGCTATCAAATTTAAAGTAAGATCAGGAATTTGCTGGTATTCATTCAATGGATTCGGTTTTTTATTTGTTTCTCAGATGTTTTATGTCTTGTAAATTTGATGAGTTTTTAATAGATACGATATGCTTATACATTTGTAAATAAGTTATTTTGAAATTCAAACGAGTGTAATTTTTTAATGAGAAGATTTATCAAAAAATTGATATATAGTCTCTAAATTCAACCCTTAATTTACACTGGGGCAAAAGGCCACTTCGAGGAATGATAATAAAAACGTTGACAATTGAATTAAAGAATAACTGTCTTATTTTTTGGATTCATGATGTGATCAATCGAGTGGCTTGCGTGATAATTTGCATAAACACCGAAGGCGTTTATGCATAAAATTATCACGCAAGCCAATCGATTGATCATCGTCATGAATCCAAAAAATCTGACAGTTATTCCTTATATTTACATGCTCCTGATTCTGCAAATTCCCGTGCTAACAGCCCCGCTTTTGTCTCTATTTGTCCCGCCCCGCACGTGATTTTTTTTTAACCGCGCCTATCGATGAACCAGTAGATTTATGTAGAAATAAAGTATTTTTACAATTTGTAATTTTATCTCGGACAAAGACATTGGAAATGTAAATATTTATTTATAAACTCTGATTTACCTTAAACTTTTTACAATCAAGCCAAATAAAATAAAATGTTATGATGCTACATTGGTCAAGCGTTCATCTGATAATACCATTATAATTTTTATAGTAAAATTTTGATTTCACATTGTGGCCCCATCCATTTCCAGTGGATTCCATTTGAACAGATTTGAATTTACACAATCAGTCAGACCTGGCCCCAGGATCATGAAACAGACTTAGACTTAAGTCAAATTTTCAATCCCCTGTAAAATGTTTATTGATTATTGAATTAATCTTTAAATTTGCATATAAAAACATTTTTGTAATACAAAATTGAAAATTATTTTAATTTTGGTCTACTTAATGTCTACAATATTTTAGGACAACATAAAGATTTTGACTTAAGCCTAAGATCTTTCATGATCCCGGGGCCTGTTTACTCTTACGATTTCGCCGTACTTTGTACGGTTTTTGAGTCCAAAATACATTTACGTTTTTCCGACGGAAAGTCGGATGAAAAGTCTACTTCGAATAGGCGAAAAATTACAAATTCTAAAAGAATATGATTTATAGGAAGCGTCAGTCACAGGATATACATTCTGGCTGAAATTCTCGATTTAATAAGTATGCATAATTTTTGTTATTTTAGAATGAACTACACGTATTCTTGAAATAATCACTTCGTCCTGACGTTTCAGGCCGAAGTTAGATGATATGTTAACTTCGTTTTCTATTGCATATAGTTTACTTGTATCACAGAATTCCCAATATATTTGCCGAAGAGAATTTACATAAAGTTTCACAATATATTTTAGGTCAATATAAGGAATTTTACATGTTTAAAGGCGGAACATTATATTTTCACTTTTTATAATGCTTTTAAACGCTTTGATAACTGAATAGAGTCGAAACATGAAGAGTCTTTTGTATGCCATTTAA